CCTCAGTCTCCGGGTGTTACTCACACCACAGTCTCCCAAGTAGCTGGGATTACAGGCGTGTACTACCACGTCGAGCTAGTTTTTTGTAGAGAGGGGTTTTGTCCTGTTGCTTAGGCTGGTTTTGGACTCCAAGGCCCAAGCTGTCCTCCCGCTGTGACCTCCCTAAGTACTGGGATTACAGGCATGAGTCATCATACTTGGCCATCTTCAGCTACTATTAACCAAGCTGCCCCATTGACATTCCTTTACATGTCTTCCGATTACACACACATACTCCTTTCTCTTAACTATATAATATCTTAATACTACCAGTCTTCCCCCCCCTCCTCTCCCCTCCCCTCCCCTCCCCTCCTTCCCTTCTCTTTTCTTTCTTTTCTTTTTGTAGATAAAGCTTTGTAACCCAGGCTAGAGTGCAGCTGTGTGATGTCAGCTCACTGTAACCTCCAACTCCTGGCCTTAAGTGATCCCCCTGCCTCGGCCTTCCAAACTTAAATGGCCATCCTTTTCCTTCTGGCCATTCTAGTGGATGAGCAGTGGTGTCTTTTATTTCTTCACTTTGTAATGTTGTTGACCACATTTTGTGCTGTGGTTATCTGAATATTCTGTTGTGGGTGAAGTGCCCGTTCCAAGTCTTTGCCAATTGTGTTATTGGGCGGTTTGTCTTTTATTATTGAGTTAATAGAAATTCTTCAAAAACTTTTTAATATGTCTTTTGTCAGATATATGTATTGTAAATAACCTTCTCATGGTCTTTGGTTATCCTTATCCCAGTTTCTAATGGGGTCTTTTGTGTTATGGTGACAATAGGGATCATTTAGGAAATCTTTTTTTTAATACATAATTTATATACATAATATTTAATATTTTTAAGATTACTACAATTCAATGAGACTCCACCTCAACAAAAAGAAAAAAAAAGGAGCATTTAAAAAAGTAAAGTATTTAGGGAAGAGCATATCATATATGTAAGTGATTATGGTAGCAATGGAAAATATTTAAAAACAAGTATTTCTGATTAGTGAGCTTTGACTATCTAGAAGTTAAATGTTAAAGCAATTGTTGAAAAACGTTTCTCATGTTTTGTGGTAAGCAAGATGAAGTAAGGGTCAGACGTAATTATAGCAAAGGCTTGGTTGATGCATAGCAGAGCCTTGCACATTGCATATATATATTATTACATTTTAACTAAATGAATTCTTAAAATAATTATTTGAGTTAATTACTGTTGTTGCCCTCATTTTATAGATAAGGCTAGACTGCACAATCTCAGCTCACTGCAACGTCTGCCTTCTGGGCTCAGGTAATCCTCTCACCTCAGCCTCCCAAGTAGCTGGGACCACAGGCGCACACCACCACATCCAGCTAGTGTGTGTGTGTGTGTGTGTGTGTGTGTGTGTGTGTGTGTATTTTTTTTTTTTTTTGTAGAGACAGGGTTTGTCATGTTGGCTAGGCTGGTCTCGAACTCCTGGGCTTAAGCGATCCACCCATCTAGGCCCCCCAAATTGCTGGAATTACAGACGTGAGCCATTGTGCCCAGCCATATTTAATATGGTCATATTAAATGTGGTCATAGTCAGTGGCAGTTTCCAAATTTCAGAGGCGGAAAGAATCTGGGGTCATTAATTATATTACTCTGGTGTATTTGTCAAAACCAAGAAATCCACTAAATTTCTATTTGGAGTTTTTCTTCCTTTAGACCACCTCTTCGTTATCTGTGAAACTGGTGCTTTCTGATCTGTGTTCTGATAGCCCCTTCTTGATCTTCACAGGACTTCGGGGAATACTAAGATGATCTTAGTACTGGCAAAGACAGTCTTAGTATTGCTTCATCCAAATAAATTTGTTTAGAAAAAGGAAAAATCAACTCAGTAATTCCATGTTTCAAAATTTAGAAAAGCTACTTGGCCACAAACATATTTTTTATTTTTGTTTGAGACGGACTCTTCCTCTGTCTCCCAGAGCAATGGCACGATCTTGGCTCACTGCAGCTTCTACCTCGCAGTTTCAAGCCTCCCAAATAGCTGAGATTATAGGCACCTGGCATCACACCTGGCTAATTTTTGCATTTTTAGTAGAGCGGGGGTTTCACCAAGTTGGCCAGGCTGGTCTCGAACTCCTGACCTCAGGTGATCCACTTGCCTTGGCCTCCCAAAGTGCTGGGATTACCATGTGTGAGCCACCACACATGGCCAGCATACATTAATACATAGGGTGTTTCAGTGCATTTGGGAGAGCACATTTAAAACAGTCAATGTTTGTATTAGTCTGTTTTCACACTACTATGAATATACTACCTGAGACTTAGTAGTTTATAAACAAAATAGGTTTGATTGACTCACAGTTCTACATGGCTGAGGAGACCTCAGGAAAATGACAATCACGGTGGAAGGTGAAGGGGATGCAGGTACCTTCTTCACAAGGTGGTGGCAGAGAGAGTGCAGGGGAACCTGCCATTTTTTAAAGCCATCAGGTCTTGTGAGAACTACTTCACTATCACAAGAACAGCATTGTGGAAACCGCCCCCAGGAGCCAGTCACCTCCCAGCAGGTTTCTCACTAAACATAAGGGGGTTATAATTCAAGATGAGATTTGGGTGAGGCATAGAGCCAAACCTTATCAGTGTTCAACAGCCAGTTTTTCCCTAATCATTGAAATCGGTTTCTTTTTCATCAGAACACTGTGTGGAGTGGCTTGAGTTCAGTGCTAACTGACAGGAGTGAAAATATAAAATATTTGAACACTAAAAACACACTCAGCGAAGTGAAACGGTCATGTAAAGAGTGGTACTGGACGATTTGAAGCAACAGCAGATTCGTCTCTGCCTCATTCTGTAGGATGTTGAGTAGTTGATGCCTAAAATTATTTTTTCCTGTAGGAGAGAATAGTTTGTATTTAAGTGAAATATGTGTGATTCTATTATTTTTCTTTAAAATAAGTACTCGTTAGTTCCAAATTTTACTTCTGTTTTTTTTAAATGATTTTTGATTGATAAATGACCAAAATCAAAGATAAAACAATTTTCTGTTAGAATTCTGTTACCGATTTCATTTCCAGAGACTGAGTCATTGATGAGTAAAATAAACTTTTTTGGGGGGTGGTTAGAGATAGGGTCTCCCATTGCTCCCCAGGCTAGACTCAAATTCCTGGGCTCAAGTGATCTTCCCGCCTTGGCCTCCCAGAATGCTGTGATTGTGTGCACATGGACTGAAATAAACTCTGGATGATGATTCTCTGAGTTGTAGATGCTGCTAGGGCCTATTCTTTGCTGTCTGGAAGAATCCTGGGACAGAATGACTCTTAAGACCCTATAGGGACCATATATAGATAATCCTGAGTGGAGTTATCACAAAATCCCTCTCAATGTATACTGGAGGGCTTACCTCTGAACTGTTGTTATCTCTGCCTTAATTGTACTCAGGTAGCTGTTCTTACCACAGATTTGTTGAATAAACCCGTACTAAACTATGAACCCAGTTGCAAAGATTTTCTTAGATTAATGTATGATTGTACAGTAGGAGTTAGAAACTGCAGGCATAATAACTTCTCAAATAGTGAAGTGAGGAAAGTGAGTTCTGTTTTTCTGTTTGTTTGAGACAGAGTCTCACTCTGTTGCCCAGGCTAGGGTGCAGTGGCAACATGGTGAAACCCCATCTTTACAAAAAGCGCAGCAACAACAGATTAGCTGAGTGTGGTGGCATGTGCCTATAGTATCAGCTACCTGGAAGGCTGAGGTGGGATGATCACTTGAGCCTGGGAGGTTGAGGCCGTGATCATGCCACTGCACTCCAGCCTGGATGACAGACTGAGACCCTGTCTCAAAAAAACAAAACAAAACAAAAAAAAACCCAAAACCCCAAATAAATTAAAAAGTCAATATTGCACTTTTCTGCTGTCTGTTTTAATAGCGTATAACATTAAGAAGGCTGCTAAAGGGTTTGAAGTAGCATGTTTCAAAAGAAAAATACTTTAAAAATACAGGATTCTCGTTGAGTGCAGTAGTTCATGTCCGTAATCCCAGCATTTTGGGAGGCCGAGGTGATTGGGAGACCTCAGGATTGCCTGAGGTCGGGAGTTTGAGACCAGCCTGACCAAATGGAGAAACCCCATCTCTACTAAAAATACCAAATTAGCCGGGCATGGTGGCGCAAGTCTGTAATCCTAGCTACTTGGGAGGCTGAGGCAGAACTGCTTGAACCTGGGAGGTGGAAGTTGCTGTGAACTGAGATCGCTCCATTGCACTCCAGCCTGGCAACAAAAGCAAAACTACATCAAAAAAAAAAAAAAAAAAAAAAAAAGGTCGGGGCGGGGGGAAGTCCAGAATTCCATCTGGGCAGGGTGGCTCATACCTGTAATCCCAGCATTTTAGTAGGAGGCCAAGGTAGGCAGATCACATGAGGCCAGGAGTTCGAGACCACCTGGCCAACATGGCGAAATCTCATCTCTACTGAAAATACAAAAAGTGGCTGGGCATGGCAGCGCGCACCTGTAATCCCAGCTACTTGTTGAGAGGCTGAGGCACAAGAATTGCTTGAACCAGGAAGGCAGAGATTGTGCCACTGCACTCCAGCCTGGGCAATAGAGGGACTCTGTCTCCAAAAAATAATAACAATAATTTAGGAACCCTAGTCACTGTTAGGATATCTAATTCTTTGTCACAAAAACTGCTTAAAAATGATTAATTCAAAATCAGATTTTTGTAGGAAGACGATCTCACTATTTTTGTATTACGTATAGTGGAAATAGCGGTAAACTAGCAGGTCATGAAACTTCTTAACCAAGTTTAAGTTATATAAAGTGAAAAGACTACTTAGTTCTTCATGCTTCCTTTCTGGAATTAGGTCTGAAAATACTAAAATTCGCTCTATGAAGTGAAAAGACTACTTAGTTCCTCATGCTTCCTTTCTGGAATTAGGTCTGAAAATACTAAAATTCGCTCATTTGTATTCCTGTCATGCACTACACAGCATGCCTGATACTATTTCTCTCTTATTTTCTTTTAGTGTGTTGTTGGTGGCTGCAATGCCAGCTTTGCTTCTCAGGGAGGGCTAGCTCGCCATGTACCCACACACTTCAGTCAGCAGAACTCCTCAAAAGTTTCTAGCCAGCCAAAGGCCAAAGAAGAATCTCCTTCTAAAGCTGGAATGAACAAAAGGAGGAAATTAAAGAACAAAAGACGACGCTCATTACGTAAGTGTTACACTCAGAGAATATGTATATATTTGATGGTTTTAAAAGATATCTTAGGATTTTATGCAAATCCACTTTGAATGTCAGCTCCTCTTACTTCTTTCTATTAAAAGTAATAAACGGGTAGGATAACCGTCTGTCAGTGTGAGAATTCAGTGGCACATGTTCTAGTAGCTAAGGGAGTATACGTGGCCTTCAAATGTAAACTGTATAGAATTAGATTCTGGAGCTACTCCGATTCTCTTCTAAAATAAGAACATTTAAAATACAATAATATTGGTATTTCTAGAAATATTTTAGAAAATTTGAACATGTTAAATATGAAATAAAAGTATCTATCAAGTAAAAGTTAAATAGCCCATCTACCCATGCCGGGCGCGGTGGCTCACACCTGTAATCCCAGCACTTTGGGAGGCCAAGGCGGGTGGGTCACAAGGTCAGGAGATCGAGACCATCCTGGCCAAACGTGGTGAAACCCTACCCCAAAGTCATGTGTGTACCTGAAGTGGGAGGTAGAGGCGCAGTGAGCTGTGATCGTGCCACCATGCTTGAACCTGGGAAACAATGAGACCCTGTCTCAAAAAAAAAACCAACCAAACAAACAAACAAACAAAAAAAACCCCACAAAACTGCATGTGGAAAGCAAAATACTTTTTTTTTTGGAGATGGAATCTCCTTGTCACCCAGGCTGGAGTGTAGTGGCACGAGGTGGGGTTTCACTATGTTGGGCAGGCTGGCTTCGAACTCCTGACCTCAGGTGGATTACCTGTCTCAGTCTCTCAAGGTGCTCAAAGTGCTGGGATTACAGGCGTGAGCCACTGTACCTGGCTGATGGCAAAACAATTTGAATGTAATGTTTGTCATAGTACCTAGTCTATTGTAACATACATGCAGCGATTATGTGCTTACTTACCAAAAATGGATCCTTGATGTTTAGATAGAAAATAATTAGATGAGAAGGCTTATAGATGTTGGGAGCAGGAACACACTTTGAAACCTCAGAGTGTAGCTGCTGATTGATTCTCTGTGTCAGCTGGTTAGTTTTAACTGTATATTCTCAATGAAGAAATACCAATGAGTGAATGAAGCTGTTACTGAAAGGGAGTCCACTCTAAGGGTAATTGGAAAGAAAATATAGATTGTACTTTACCCTTTCTTTTGGGATTGATTGGTATAGACACGACTCCAGACACTAATTACAGACTGTGAAGTTAGTCTCTAAAACATGGCAGTCTTTTTGTTAGTACAGAGTTACAGCGGACGAAAGAACAAACCAGAAGTGAAAAGTAAACTTCTTTTATTTAATTTTTTTTCTACCTCATTAACTGAGAAAAGTAAACTTTTAAAAACCTCTGTTAGATTTCTTTGTTGCCTTTTTTTAAGGCAGGGTCTTACTGTTGCCCAGGCTGGAATGCAGTAGTGAGATTATGACTTCAGCTTCAGACTCAGTTCTCCCACCCCAGCTTACCAAGCAGCTGGGTGTACAGGCCTGAGCCACCATGCCTGGCTTCTTATATATATATATTTATTTTGAAGAGATTCGGGTCTCTCTGTGTTGTCCAGGCTGGTCTTGAACTCTTGGGCTCAAGTGATCCTCCCACTTCAGCCTCCCAAAGTGCTAGGATTACAGGCATGAGCCACTGCCACACCTGGCCTTAAGCTTCTTTTTGTTAAACATGTTTATTTTTTAATCAACATTTTGACCTCCTTTATAAAGCAGAAATAACATTGTAGTCATTTTACTTGGATTAATATTGAGTAGCTTGCAGTTGCACATAGAAAATTGCTAAATTTATGTTATGGTACTCAAAAACCAGGTAACTTTTCCACCGGTGATTCGTTATTATTTTGGTCTCAGTGTATACACAGTAATCATTAAAATTTTCTGGCTTTTCCCATTATATACTTGGCATTATCTATGCAATTTGCTACTCTTTGTTTTGTAAAGAGAAGACAGGTTCAGTTAAATACCCAGTTCTTGCTTAGAAACAAATTATCAGCGCTGGCTTAAGAATGTTTCTTTTGACCATGCTGTTTTTCCTCTTACTAACTTAGCTAGTAAGGCAGGCTGTGCAGGGGCAGTTGGCAGAGAGAGGTGGTGGATGAAAATACCTTTTGTTATGTTTTATTGGGGAAAATGGGGTTAGTCCTGAATATATTACTTTATGAACTTTAAAAAGAATCCAAGGCCTTTTCAACTGTTGTGGAGAGCATTGTTAAGACAGTGCTGTGATTTGAATTAGCATGGTTCCAGCTGCTGCAGTTCGCTCTTTCTTTAAAAAGATACTCTCTGTAGAAGTTTAACCTTGTCTAGTATCTTCCTCATGTAATTCAAGAAGATAGTTTTTACATAACTGTGAAAAAATACCCTAAAAATAGCAGAGCTGCTATTTAGCAAATGTAATTTTCTGTTTGATAAAATTTGTTTTTTTTTTAAAAAATCCTTTTTGTTTGTTTTTTCTGAGACAGGGTCTCACTCTGTTTCCCAGGCAGAATACAATGGTGCAATGAGGACTCCCTGAAGCCTTGACCTCCTGGGCTCAGGTGATCCTCCCACCTCAGCCCTCCAGGTAGCTGGGACTACAGGCACACACCACTATACCTGGCTCATTTTTGTTTTTTTATTTTTATTTTTTTGTTTGTTTTGTTTTGGTAGAAATGGGTTTTTGTCTTGCTGCCCAGGCTGGTCTCCTGAACTCAAATGGTCCACCTGTCTCAGCCTTCCAAAGTGCTGGGATTACAGGTGTGAATCACTGCACCCAGCCTGATAAAATTTCTATTTAAAATTTTAAAAAATATATTTTTAATGCTTTTTTTTTTTTTTTTACATCAAAGTAAAGTGGAAAGAATAGTATGATAAATACTTGTAATGCTCTTCTGTTAGAGATTTACCAATATGGTTCATTTGTTTTATCTCCCTACCTGTATACTTTTTTGGTCATGGACCCAATTTTTTCTTTTTTTTTTTAAATGGAGTGTTGCTCTGTTGCCCAGGCTGGAGGGCAGTGGTGCGATCTTGGCTCACTGCAACCTCTACCTCCCGGGTTCAAGGGATTCTTCTGCCTCAGCCTCCTGAGTAGCTGGGATTACAGGCATGCTCCACCATGCCTGGCTAATTTTTGCATTTTTAGTTGAGAGGAGATTTCACCATGTTGGTCAGACTAGTCTCGAACTCCTGACCTCTAGTGATCTGCCCACCTCCGCATCCCAAAGTTATGGGATTATAGGCGTGAGCCACTGCTCCTGGCCATATCCAAAATTCTTAAGATGCATCTCCTAAGAATAAAGATATTTTTCTATACAACCCATCATTATACCTGAGAAGAGAAATCTTTTTTTTTTTTTTCTGAGATTGAGTGTTGCGTTTACTGCCCAGGCTGGGGTGCAGTGGCATGACCTTGGCTCACAGCAGCCTGTAATGTTAGCTTGTCAGTTTGTGATCTTTCAAACTTTTTGCTTTGTTTTGTCTTTGTTTTTTGAGACAGAGTCTCACTTTGTTGCCCAGGCTGGGGTGCAGTGGCATGACCTTGGCTCACAGCAACCTGTAATGTTAGGTTGTCAGTCTGTGATCTTTCAAACTTTTTGCTTTGTTTTGTCTTTGTTTTTTGAGACAGAGTCTCACTTTGTTGCCCAGGCTGGGGTGCAGTGGCGTGACCTTGGCTCACTGCAACCACTGCCTTCCAGGAGCAATCAGTCCTTGTGCTTCAGCTCCCTAGAGCAGCTGGGACTACAGGCGTGCACTACCACGCTTGGCTAAGTTTTGTATTTTTAGTAGAGACGGGGTTTTACCATGTTGGCCACTGAGTCTCAAACTTCTCTAGTGTCAAGTGATCCACCTTCCTCGGCCTCCCAAAGTGCTGGGATTATAGGCATGAGCCACCGTGTCTAGCCCCAAAGATGTTTTAAACTGTGTGTCTTATTAGTTAAAGAAAAATGATGAGCACATGGCCTTACTGTTTGTAGTTTATACATTGTATACGGGCAGTACTTGCTAGAGCGCATTCACACAAAGTTGCTGAGAAAGAATATTGGCAAAGGACGAGAGGAAAAGTTAACGAAAGCATTATTTTATTTGCTTCCTCTGATGGACCATGGCATACACCTGCTTTGGAGACTGCTGTTCCAGTTCGTATTCTTGGTGGTTACACTGGAGATGATGTGGTTAGAGGCTAAATGCATAGCCTGAAGATCGAGCACTCCTTTTATTAGCGTGAATTTAAATGATGGCTTCAGTGTTTAACTTTGAGCGAGGAGTGGTCAGTTTGAGTAACGTAGAGTGATGAGTTATTTTCCCCAAGTGTTTAATCTTCTTAGGAAAAAGCATATATTTGAGGAGCTTGAAGAAAGTACACATTTTTTTTTTTTTTGAGTAGCCACCGATCTAATAGGAAGGTGATTTGTTTCTCAGAACTCTCCCTGCACACCCCTGCAAATATCAAGTACTTTTTCTTTCTGATTTTCTGGTATCACTGCATTCTTAGTCTTTTGGGTTCTGCTAGTTTATTACTAGACGGTGTTTTTATTTTTTGTTGAGGAAATATCTAGGGGAAAGAGCTGTTTTTTTAGGTATGTTCATTTAATGTGCCAGCTGGTGAAAATATTCCCCCATAAAACCTTTGGTGGATTTGTGTAGATGTTCTGAGAACTCTTTGAATAGCCATAGTGTGAGAAATCAGCATATATGTAATTCAGAATATGCTGTACCAGGGAATCGAGCCAACTCTTTTATTAGTAAAATTGAATTTTCAATTACAGATATTGAAAAATTACATGTATTAGTATACTCCACAAATGTAAATAATCAACTTATTTTCTTTATTTTGGGCAACTTTCTTATCAGGAATAGGAATAGAACAATTTATAATAGTAGGATGAAAATTGAAATGTGAAAAATGTTCTTACCAAATTAAATCTTCAGTGTATAATTCTTTTTGTGTGATTACACTAAAATATTGCCTATTCTATATATGTGAAACAGTTTATTTTAAAAAATAGTTAATGCCCCTAGTCCTAACTACTTAAGAGGCTGAGGCAGGAGAATCACTTGAGCCCAGAAGTTTGAGGCTGCAGTGAGCCATGATCACACCACTGGACTGTAGCACCTTGGGCAGCAGAGGGAGACTCTGTATCTAAAAGAAAAAGAAAAAAATCCAGTTATATAACTTATTAATATAAATGGCCTTATGATTTGTAAGGCATTTTTTATATGCATTTGTTTTATTTACCTACAATTGAAAATCATTAGGATAATTTCCATTTTACAAATAATACACAGTGCAATGAAGGTTAAGTAGTTTGCCCACAGTCACACAGCGGATAACTGGTGGAGTTGATTGGTAGCTTTGGTGGACTGATTGGCCTCCAAAAATTTGTTTGTAATTTTATTAGATAATTGTTCAAATAGTTGTTCATAATCAAGAAAATACTTGTCAAAAACCTCAAAATAGGCTGGGTACAGTGGCTCATGCTGGTATACCTAGCACTTTTGGAGGCTGAGGTGGGCGGATCACATGAGTCCTGGAGTTGGAGACTAGCCCGGCCAACATGGTGAAGCCCTGTCTCTACTTAAAACACAAAAATCAGTCTCGCATGATGCTGCACGCGTGTAGTCTCAGTTACCCCAGAGGCGGAGGCACGAGAATCACTTGAACCTGGGAGGCGGAGGTTGCAGTCAGCTGAGATGGCGCCACTGCACTTCATCCTGGGTGAAGGAGTGAGACTCTGTCTCAAAAAAAAACCCACAAACTTCAAAATAATACTGTATTGTCAGATCTGTACAAGTTGAAATTCCATGGCAGTACAAAATGGTCATGAGATTTATTTTGTATGTTTGACAATGATGAGTTTGAGACCCTTATGCTGAGGAGAGATGTTGGAGTAAAAGATAAAATTTTATGGAAAGTAAAGTAGCTGAGACGTGGAAATACGAGGTTTGAGGTCAGAACTTAACACACCGAAGGTCAGAAGTAACCTGCATTCACTCATTTGAAACAATGCTTTCCTATGTTAGCCTTCTCATCTAGAGTCCATGTTTTGTTAGCAGATAATATCTTGAATATAAATGCTATTGATACGTACTTGTTAATTATTTCGGTGTTTATTACATATTAGTTATGCTTTTCTAAATATTCTTTATGTTCTTATGTTGACTTTCAGCACGACCACATGATTTCTTCGATGCACAAACACTGGATGCGATAAGACATCGAGCCATATGCTTTAACCTCTCAGCTCATATAGAAAGTTTAGGGAAGGGACACAGTGTCGTTTTTCATAGTACTGTAAGTATTCTTTCATTTTTTCTAATTAAATATAAAGCTTTGCAAAAATATATTCTCACAATCATTTCTAAATCTCTCAATTAAGAAAATACAATTTAACAAATATCACAAGACCTTTTGCTTTATCAATACTGAAAATATTGCTTGTATTATTGGTTGTAAAGCACATATCTCCTATAATTTTACATGTTTGTGATCAAACTGAATATGTTAGCCTTACTTTGAGCTGCTTAGGAGTAATGCGGTGACAGGTCGTATAGTGCTACTGGGTACTGCTGGATTCTGACACTAGGTAGATGAGGTGTCTTTCTGACCTAGGCTGCTCACTTGCACAATTAGAATTTTAGACTCCTTTTAGCTCTAAGAAGTTTCATTCACCTTTCTGTTTACTGCTTGGAGCCACCCCTTCTTACCCCACACACCCGTCCAATGTTTGTTAAACAGAAAATAAGGTTATATTTGCGATTAGAGCTTTGTGAGGAAAGGATTTTAGCCTCTCGTGTTCCCCTCATGTGTCCCACGTGCCTAGAATTTTGCCTGGCGTGTGGCAGGCACTCGGTGTAATTGTTGAATGACTGTGTTGCCAATGTGGAAGGAAAGTACCCGACTTTGAAAAAGCGGAAAATCTAGCTGTTACAACAGAGGGTTACAACAGAGAGTTGTTCTTTCTTCCATGCCTCTTGTCATTTTGTTCTTCAGTCATTTTTAGATTGGTGCAGATTGGTGTCAGTAAGTTAATAAACATACATTATAGACCACACTTTTGGTGATTCTAATATCTGAAAAGTATGTGTTTAATTTTGGCTGTCAGAATACAAAATACAGGCTGGGTGCAGTGTCTGCAATCCCAGCATTTTGAAAGGCTGAGGTGGGCAGATCACCTGAGGCCAGGAGTTTGAGACCAGCCTGGCAAATGTGGGGAAACCCTGCCTCTACTAAAAATACAAAAATTACCCAGGCATGGTGGTAACACCTGTAATCCCAGTTACTTGGGAGGCTGAGAGAGGAGAATTGCTTGAGTTTAGGAGGTGGGGGGTGGGGGATGGGGGTGCGGTGAGCTGAGATGGCGCCACGGCACTGTAGCCTGGGCAGCGAGAGCGAAACTTCACCTCAAAAAAAGAAAAAACCACAAAAAATACAGCCAGGCGTGGTAGCCCACACTTATAATCCTAGCACTTCGGGAGGCCAGGGCAGGCAGGCAGATTGAACCTAGGAATTCAATACCAGCTTGGACAATATGGCAAAACCCTGTGTCTACAAAAGCATGCAAAAAATGAGCCGAGCCTATTGGTGTGCACCTGTAGTACTGGCTGAGGTGGGAGGATTGGCTGAGCCCAGGAGGTCAAGGCTGCAGCAAGCTGTGATTGCAGCACTGCACTCCAGCCTGGGCTACAAAGTGAGATCCTGTCTTTAAAAAAACCACACACACACACACACACACACACACACGTGCGCGCGCACTAAATATGGGTTACTTTTTAATATTTCAATTGAAAAATGCATGAGAATTGAAATACAAAGGTCCTCATTGATACTAGTATCTTGTGTGGTTTGAATCTCTATAATAATGAGGTGTTTCTGCATTTCCTGTTTACTTCTCATGCAGTTGTCCCTCCGTATCCACAGGTTCTGCGACCATGATTCCAACCACCCACAGATTGGTAATATTTCCGGGGAGAAGCACCACAATAAAGATAATACAAATTAAAAAGTACAGTGTAACAACTGTTTACATCATACCGGATTTGTGTGGGAGGCTTTGAGTAGGTCATATGCAACACCGTGTTACTTTATATAAAGGCCTGGCAGAGCATCTTTGGATTCCACTATTCAAGGCAGTTGGAGGTGTCCTTACTTACTTTCCAATTGTATAATTATATATAGCTTTCCTCTCTTTCTTTTGTACATACTTTTTTTTTTTTTAAGACAGATTCTTGCTCTGTTGCCCAGACTAGAGTGCCCTGGCACGATCTAGGTTCAGTGCAACCCCCCACCCCCTAGGTTCAAGTGATCCCCCTCCCTCAGACTCCTAAGTAGCCAGATTATAGGTGCATGCTACCACACCCTGCTAATTTTTGTATTTTTAGTAGAGGTAGGGTTTCTGCATGTTGGCCAGGCTGGTATTGAACTGACCTCAAGTAATAGACCTGCCTTAGCCTCCCAAAGTGCTGGGATTACAGGTGTGAGCCACCGTGCCCAGCCCATCTTGAGTTAATTTTTTATACGGTTAGAGTTCAGTAAGGATCCAGTTTCATTCTTTGGCATATGGTCAGCCAGTTTCTGCAGTGCCATTTATTGAATTTGGGTGGCGGGGGGAGAGTGTGTGTGTGGGTGTGTGGGCGGGAGTGCGGTGCTGCTTATGGTAGACGGCATTGCATTCCTGATTTGGTTGTCAGCTAGAGTGTAACTGGTGTGGAGAAATGCTACTGATTTTTGTATCCTGAGACTTTGCCAAAGTTGTTAATCAGGCTTATGAGATGTTGGTGAAATCTTCAGGGTTTTCTAGGTGTAAATCATAGTGTCAGTGAAGAGAAATAATTTGATTTCCTCTTTTCCTATTTGGATGCCTTTTATTGATTTTACCTGATTGATTGCTCTAGCTAGGACTTCTAGTACTAGGTGGAATAGGAACGGTCAGAGGGGACATCCTTGGGTTTTTTTTTTTAAACATTTATTTTTAATATATATATAGTTTTTGTTTTTGTTTTTTGAGACGGAGTTTCCCTCTTGTTACCCAGGCTGGAGTGCAATGGCGCGATCTCGGCTCACCACAACCTCCGCCTCCTGGGTCCAGGCAATTCTCCTGCCTCAGCTTCCTGAATAGCTGGGATTACAGGCACGCGCCACCATGCCCAGCTAATTTTTTGTATTTTTAGTAGAGACGTGGTTTCACCATGTTGACCAGGATGGTCTCGATCTCTTGACCTCATGATTCACCCGCCTCGGCCTCCCAAAGTGCTGGGATTACAGGTGTGAGCCATCATGGCCTGCTGACATCCTTTGTCTTCCTTTCCCTTTCCAAGACAGGGTCTTACTCTTATCACCAGGCTGCAGTGCAGTGGCACAAACATGGCTCACTGTAGCCTTGATCTCCTGGATTTAGGAGATTCCCCCTCCTCAGCCTTCTGAGTACAGCTGGGACCACGCTGAGTAGCTGAGTAGCCAGGAGCTACCACACCTGGCTAACTTTTTTATTTTTATTTTTTGTAGAGGGAGGGTCTTGCCATGTTGCCCAGGCTAACCTTGTCTTGTTTATGGACTAAATGTAAATGGAGGCATGCTTGACATAATGTAAGTTTTTAAATGTATTATGTAAATTAATTTGTGTTTTTAGTTACCACATAACCAGTGTTTGTGCCCTAACTTGAACTTTTCAGGTGGTGAAACTAGGGACTGTAAAGGTTGTATTACCTTTCCTAGTGTGATCAGTATAGTTGTGTGTTGTTGTTACATAGGGTTTATGGACCTTTACCCCAAACCCATTCAGTGATTCCAGGATGAGAGCTCTTGTGGTATTTAGATTGATATGTGTGATACTTACAGGGAAGATAGATCCTGCTTCAGCCTGGGCATGGGAGCCTGGTAAGGAGCTTACCCTTTGTCCCTCCTTGTGTTGCCAATTGATTGGCAGCAAATATACCAACTAAATGGACACTATTAAATAACTTTATTTAAAAAAAGCAAGATAGAAAATGGAGCAATAGTTAGGTATCAGTACATTCTACTCAAGTTTTAAAGTATTTAGGGTAGAATTGTGTATTTTGGAAATTAGATAAGGATATAAAGGAGAGAGTAAAGAACAAAATTTGGAGTCAAAGGCAAGAAAGTAGAAAATTAGATGCAAAGAAAAGGAAACTTTTTCTGAGATTGGAAGACATGGAGACATGAGTCTGAGGAAAGATGTCCTTATTTTCTTTTAAAGAGCATAGGAAATATAGTTATCTAAATAAGGATGAAACAGTTGGGGAGGAAAATATTATAGGGTTTGCAGACTAGAAAGAGTTAATATGGCTGCTCTGGGGATTTTATGGCGATTCAGCGTGATTAGGGCCTTGCTCAGCAAGGCTGGTTGAAGTCCTCTTTTGAAATTTGGGAACACAGTTTTATGGTAAGTCTGTAATTAGTTTTTTTTTTTTTTTAAAGAGGTCAGTAAGATGTCACCATGTCTAGAGTGTGGCATTAGAGCTATTTTGTGCATTCACTTAAATACTGAGCACTTCCTGTGAGCCAGGCACTAATGATATAGCGGTGAACAAAACAGATTAAAACCAACCAAACAAACAAAAAATAACATACCCCTACTCTAACGGAGGAGACACGGTTAAACAAGATAAATTAGTAAAATCGTAAAACCTCGCAACGAGGGCATAAACCATGCCATTATTAGTGGGGGATAAGCATTTCATCCAGAGGGAAGATCAGATGAAACATCCTTACATGGGAGTATGTTGGGTATATTAGAAAAACAGTGAATAGGCAGAGTAGACAGTGTAGCTGCGGGGAACAAGCGGAGAAGAGAGAGTGGAAGTTAAGTTTGAGAGGTAATTGGGAGAAGCTTGGTTGGACTAAGATCTTGGCTTTTATTCTGTGTGAGATGGGAAGCCATTGAAGGGAGTCGAGTAGACATGGTCTGATTTAGTGATTTTTTTTTTTTTTTTTTCTTGAGACAGAGTCTCACTCTGTCACCCATGGTGTAATGTGGTGGTATGATCCTGGCTCACTGTTGCCTTAAACTCCTGGGCTCAAGCAGTTCTCTCGCCCCAGTCTCCCAAGTAATTTGATCTATAGGAGCGCACCACCAGGCCTGGCTAATTTTTTGATTTTTAATTTTTTTTATTATTTGTATTATTTTTTTGTAGAAACAAAGTTTTGCTATGTTGCCCAGGCTGCTCTTAAACTCCTGGGCTCAAGCCATCCTTCTGCCTTGGCCTCCCAGAGTGCTGGAGTGAGCCACTGTGCCTGGCCTAGTTTTTTAAATAATATTTTCATTTTTATATTTT